GTGAAGTTGCATGTTTGCTTCCTTAAATATTTGGACCGATTCTAGACTCGTAGTTAATGCTTCATTGATTGTTGGTTGGCTTCCAGTCACATCATCTACATATACGTTCTCATTCAAAAAGTTAACCGTTGTCGGATAAAGTTTATTATATTTTTTTCAGATGATGTTTAATGGTAGCGGCTAATAGAAATGGACTACTATTTATTCCGAATAAAACTCTAGTGAACCTATATATGTCAGGAGAAATGGTTTCATCATTAGGGAAATCGGAAAACAGAAACCTGGTTGCGTCTCGATCTTTTTCATGTATGAGAATCTGTAAAAAGGCTTGTTTTATATCTACGGTGAAGGCTATTAGATTATACCGAAATCTTAACAATATTTCGAATATTTCAGGGTATAAATTTGGCCCAACATGTAGACAGTCATTTAAAGAAATGGATCCTGGGGCATGCGATGATGCATCATAAACAATACGTAATTTACTTGTAGCTCGATCCTCGCGTATAACTTCCCTATGTGGCAAGTAAAACAGGACATCCACTTAATTTGAAATTTCTGAAACTGGTTCGATAATATTTTGTTTTAACTGATCTCTTAATACGTTCCTGTATTCGTAAAATAGATCAGGATCTTTTTTAAATCGTTTTCTAAGTCGATGAAATCTTTGTTCTGCGATTTCCCTATTATTATTTAGATTTGATGTGTCATGTTTCCAAGGCAATCTAACTTTATAGCGAGAATTTTCATATGTTATATTTGATTCGAAATATTCGACGACTTCATTTTCAGTTGAATCGAAGTTTTCCCTCTTATCAATAAGTCCTGAGTTTTCCAAGTCCCAAAATTTTGTTATTTGTTTGGAAATCAAATCTTCCCCTACAACTACATTGAAAGCTAAAGAGACATCCTCATCACCTTTTCGTCCATGTAGGCACCAGCCGAAAATAGTTTCCACTGCAACAAGATTTTTGCTTAAGCATTTAACGTGTCCCATTACTATGTTGTAATAATAATCTGCACCAATTAGAATGGCAATGGGTTTTTTTACAATCGGGAAAATCTGCGAGCATCAAATTTTTAATTGTCTGTTTTGCTTAATTTCTTCTGATTTAGGAGGTGGAATCTGTACCTGATATATGATCAGTTACTAATAATTCAACTTCTATTCTAGAATCGGGAGAACTTCTATGTTCTAAAGTTAATTTAACTACGTCATAATTTTTTTGGATGGGAGAAGTATTCCCAAAAGTGTAGACAGTCAATTTTTCTTTTCTTATGACTTCGAGATTTAATCTGTCCACTAACTCGCGAGCACAAAAACTTTTCATACTTCCACTATCCAAGAGAAGTCTGGCAAACACCTTTTCCTTAGCTCTTTTAACTCTTATCGTGCAAATCTGTAAAAGAATTGTATTATTTGCATTATGTGAAACGGCCGAAACAATTTCTTCTTTCTGTTCCTTAGTTTGTGTATCATTTTTCGAAATTGATATACTATCCTTTTTATCACTTGGTGTATTTTTAACTATCGAACTGGATTTAAAACATATGGCTTCTGAATGTCTACCTTTGCAAATTTTACAAACTTTAGTTTGGCGTTGTCGGCACTGTGAGATTTTGTGTTTAGGGGCCAAGCAAAGAAAACAACGCGCTTGTTTTTTTAAAATATCTCTCTTCTCATTAACTGTAAGGCATAAACAGGACTCTGAGTCATGGTTTTGAAAACAAAAAATACAGTTTCGATTTGATGACGCGGCTGCCATAAATTCATGTGTAGTGACAGTTTGTTTATGTTTCGGAGTCAAAACCGGAAATGAAAGGTATCTGTTAATACCTTTCATTTCCGGTTTTGACTTGCGTGGAAAGGATAACGAATTAATCTTTTCTCGCGATTCTATTTCTAATCGGAGAAAGTCTAGAAATTTGTTTAAATCATAGGTTGAAGGATTTTCAGTATTTGTACGATGAAATTCTAAAGTTATATCGTTCGGGACATTTTCATCAAAATTGGAATAAACATGTTGGAATATGTTTCTGGTTTCACACCGAATGCTAAAAGGCTTCTGACTTGAACGTTAATTGTATCATAAAGTTTTCGCAATTTTGCCACTTCACTTGAACTTTGAACGGGATTTAAATTTAAGAGATTAGAAAATGTGTGTATTGATAATTAGGTCACTTTGACCGAATCTATTTTTAAGAATGTCTATAGCAGAGTCATAATTAGCCTCTGAGATTGAGAGACCTTCTATGGCTGATGCTGCGTTTCCACATAAAAAGTTCTCAAATAATTAAATTTTCGATCTTCGAAAGTGCAACATTGTCATGAATAGTGACCTTGAATGAATTCAAAAAATTTCATCCAATCGTCATAATCTCCGGAAAATTTGTGAATGAATTAACAGTTTGGGCAATTTCACATTGCCTTCAATCTGTCTTTTGGTTTCAACTTCTGTAGATGAATTATTTAAATTCGTGTTGATATTTTTAGTACTGTATTTCCTTAAATAGCGGTTGATTTTAGACTTCGCTATTATTATTTTATCGTTATATTCCATAGAAGTGTTAATATCTGAATCTAATTTTGATTCATCTTCAATCAAATTTCGTATTTTTTCATTTAAATCATGTAGTTTCGTTTCTTTACTATTTAGCAGTTCCAAACAATTTTCTAACTCTTCTTGATTTTCTTCTTTTAAATACTCATCTACATTTTTAACAATTTGAGTTACAGAAGCACGTGTATGTGCTCGATTCTTAATTAGTGTCTTCTGTTCCATTTTAATAAATTTTAATAATAATATTAAAATTTCCATTTTAATAAATAATATATAATTAAAATTTAATAAATTTTAAATAATCCATTTTAATAAAGGAGACTTTACCGGGAGAAGTCTTCGCTTACAAAGCTAAACCAAAAGGCGAAAAAAACAAATTTTCAAAATAAATCAGATTCTTTTCTGGGGCTGATGCACCATTATGTAACGAAAGTTCTCGATCAAAGTCGAATCACTCATAATCCAAAAGACGAGATGCATGGCCTGGAGGGTTTTCCATAAATTTTAATTAAACTTAATATTTACATATATACAATGTAGGCTAAAATGCCTGAATCGAATATTTAATGCTCAAAAGGCAAGAACTGAATAGTTCCAGCTAAAATCTAAATCGAATTCTATTGCGTAGTGCATCGAGATTCTGCCTTCAAGAAGAAGAATATTTTTTTTCAAGTCACGTGTTCAGAAGGGGAAAGGTTAAGTAAGCCAATAGATGGACTCCTAACGCCATCTCTTGGCGATATCAAAGAATATTCCTTAACACTATTGTTGCGTGCAGGTTGGAAGCGCGCAACATTACAACGATATCATACGGAACTCAAAAATTTAAAATTATGAATATTAACAAAAAGCAAATTTTCCACGTAGAAGCTGAAAAGTTAGCAAATTAGTGGAAAAAATTAGGGACCCTTTTCACTGCATCCTCCTATATAACATAAGAAATAGATTCAATGCCTAAACTAACCCGGCTACAATTAATTTGTGAGTTATAGCAAATCACTCACCAATCTCAAACCAGCAAGTAAGTGAACAGCTTATGAAATTAAATTCCTTGTCGATGTTTGCCATAGCTCCTAAAATTACCTATTCACTTTTTATCTAAACTTCCATTTGATTTTCATTCTGATGAAGGCTGTTAAAGGAAACAGAAGTTACAGGAAACGAATCAACATAAAAATAATATATTACCTAAGTGATTCTTATATTGACTTTTTCTACTGTATCTGGATATTAATAAGCAATGCAACTTTAATTCTCTTCAGCGTTAATGAATTATTTCTTTAAATACCATAGCGAGTGGTATTATGACCTCAGAACAAAGCCATCTAACTTTAACAAAAGTCCACCAGTAGCCATTTCCTAACTATTTTACAGTCAAGGAAAATATATCATTTGACGTATATTTTATAAGTATATTCTCTCTCCTTCTAGCATGCCTTCGTGTTGTAACGGTAGCACACTCGGTACGCATTCTAGAGGTCTACTTTCGAGCTCAGGAGAGGGCATTGCACATTTATCTTGTCTTCTGCTTCAAAATATCGTAATGGCTCTACAACTGGCCCCCGAACTAAAAGATGGTGGACAATAATTCGTCATCACCAGGATTTGACGACTGGATCCACTAATTCCCAGTCGTCCTTTCAGAGGGGAAGTATATAAGGTAGATTCTCCCTCCTTCCAGCATGCCTTTGTGGTGAACGGTAGCACACTTGCCTCATATTCGAGATATTAGGTTTCGAGTCCCGGTGAGGGCTTAGCTAATTTTTTGTGTCTCCTGCTTCAAAATATATTAATAGTTCTACAGTTTATTTATATTTGTTGCCTGACAGATGCATTTTATTTGCTGTCATTTCATGCTTTGAATTAATGAACTTTCTTGCTTATTTCTCCAAAAAATATGAACGTTTTCATTACTCAAGCATAATATATCATCTGTGAGAAAAATTGGTAAATTTAGGAACTAATTATTTAGAGCAATGAAAATTTGTTACTTCCCACTTGCGCATACGTATTTATCTGCCGTTGTTATAGAAAATTCAATTATAGCTTTTGCTAATACCCTTCTTATCAGCAAAAGGCAAATTTATTTGAATTCATATGATTATAAGAAGTTAATAAGAAGGCAACACATTTCATTGCTCATTAATATTATGGTAAATATAATTGGATTTTTCTTTGGCTTTGGTTATCCTTGTTTTGAAACTGTATATAAAAATATTAAATTCCATACCGAATCATTACATGAAATGCCCAAGATAATTTATAGCTTTAAAATCTTAAAAAATGTTTCGATTCTATTGATTTGCAATTTATGTTAACAAAAGGGAAATATTTTCACAGTTTGAATGTACAATCCTTTTCTAGTAAATCGTACTAAATAAAATACTAAAATTGCATGTGCTTACCCCCCCCATTTCAAAATGTTAAATTTCTTTTCAGGCTGGTTTGACATCAGCCGTCCAAATGAGTGAGCCAGCAGTATTAGTAGACATCCTGTCTCTTCTCATCTCCAAACCGTAAGTTATTCCTCTAATATGATTGATTAAATTTATTAACTGTTTTTATTTTAATTATGATTGGATATATTGTTTTCATAAAGTTTTGATTTTTAAATTAAAGTGTGACAATTATTTTTGCGTTTTACCAATGTTTAAGTTAAACACAGTCCTTTTTTCTCTTCAGTTCGCGTCATATATATTCCGAGGCAAAAGAAAGTTATGTAAAGTAAGAGTTTGCGAAACAGTATTTAAAAGACCGTCAGCTTGTTTACCGCACAGGATCGACAAAAAAGCTCAAAAGACGGTTTCATTCCCATTGATCGAATTAAACAAATTTCCATTCTCGCGTGGCCCCCAACCGGTCACTGACTGCCGTGCCGAAGGGCCCGGGTTCGAATCTCAGAGAAGGCATGGATGATTCTAAATGCATAGTGTTGGTGCGGCATGGCGGCACTCTAAGACCCATATGACACATGCATTTGTTTCACACGAACAATTGTTTCGGACAATTTTTCTGCCTGGTTTACTATTGAAAGAAAGACGAGTGGTTTTTTCCTTCCTTTCGAAAAACATTGCAAGTTGTTCGTTTTCAACCAGTCAGCTTCCAATGCTATCAACTTGTTTGTAATGGAGAACCAGTTTTCCCTGTGTTAACCCCAAAACAGAAAAATTGTTCCAAACAGTTGTTCTTCCAGTCTAAACATGCGAGCCGAAAGTCCTCTCGTCAGAGAGGGCCTTCTGGGAGACCTCGGACCCATTCTCCCCGGGGTGTTCTTATCAAAATTGGGGGGGGGGGGCGAAACTGAGCTAAAATCGCAATGTCACCTGAATGATGCTCAAGGCTGTTGCCAACGGCAGACGCTCCTTGAACTCCCTCTTTTAGGCTGCTATCACACGTTGGTTTGTTTCGGAAGGACAACTGTTTGGAACAATTTTTCTGCTTTGTCACACCAGCCAATCAAAACAGATCGCTTTGGGGTTAACGCAGGGAAAACTGGTTCCTCACTACAAACAAGCTGATAGCAATCGAAGCTGATAGCTGACTGGTTGAAAACGAACAACCTGCAATTTTTTTGGAAAGGAAGGAAAAAGTCGCACGTCTTTCTTTCAATAGTAAACCAGGCAAAAAAATTGTCCGAAACAGTTGTTCGTGTGAAACAAACGCCGTGTGATATGGGCCTTAGGCTGCTATCACACGTCGGTTTGAACAACTGTTTGGAACAATTTTTCTGCTTTGTCACAACAGCCAATCACCATAGATCGCTTTGTGGCTAACACCGGGAAAACTGGTCCCCCATTACAAACAAGCTGATAGCATTCGAAGCTGATATCTGATTGGTTGAAAAACGAACAACTTGCAATTTTTTTGGAAAGGAAGGAAAAAGGCCTGTGATATGGGCCTTAGAGCTCCTTGCCACCTCTCACCACGTTGGTCACAGGCTCTTACCACGAGGGATTTCGTGGGCCCGGGCTGATTACGTCAGACAAGTGAGCATAAGCAACAACAACCATTCTCGCGTGATTAGTCCGTATTCCTTCAGGATTATAGCTGCATATGTTGCGAGGATAGCAACTGAATGGTTTCTTTAATTTCGATACGGGGTTCAAAATTGTCTCACCGCAGTGTTCAGTATTGGAGTTAAAAATTATAGAGAGATATAAATTGTTTTTAAACAACATGCTGAACCATTGTTACAGTGTAATTTGCCTTTATATTCCCAATCATGTACTACTATAAACTGTAAAACCTTCTTCTAAAATTTATGTTCCATTCTCTACCTTATCGGAGTAACTTCAGAATTTTTTAGCTTCCCTTTTTTCCTTAGAAATATTCTCTCTCCTAATCAAAACTTCATAAATAAATTCCTATTTCATCAAGAAGCAACTGAAGTCTCCCATTTTGCATTAATTGCAAATTCCTCGCAATGTATCTGCAATTGCCTTCCTTTTGAATTGTGAGTTTTCTTGCTGACGGAGATGACACTTAAAATTTGCATCAAGATTAATACTATCTCAGTGCATTATTTTAAATATGATTGGCTGTAAAGATTTTACATATTGTTATATGTCTCTGTAGCTCAAAAATTCTCTTTAAAGAGCCATTTAAAAATTTTCTTGATTTTCTCATTGTTGCATATTTTTTTTTATGCAAAGTGTACTGGTAATCAGTTTTTGGAAGTTCACAGGTCCAGTTCTTTTACATGGTGACTTTCAAGAAATGAAAATTCATATTTGATGGACAACACGAGCATTTTCATCAGAATATTTGTAGTACATTTTTCGAGCTATTTTGTGATTTGAGATGGGGAAGAGATCATTTTCATTTGAATTTTAAAAACTAAAATGAAAATTGAATTTTTAAAAGGCGCTGATATATGTTAGATCGCCTTTTAACGCAAGAAAAGTTGCTCTTAAATTCGCTTGTCAGATAACCATGGTCTAACACTCGCCGAAAAGTGCTGGTTGCGGTCAACAGTGTTCTTTGACGTAACTGAATTTAATTATTTGTCTAAATTTACTATAACTGCTCCACACCAAGAACCTGTGGGTTGGTCACCAAAACTGTAAATCACAGTGCACAGCTGCTTTGACGGTTATCTTTGTCCTTCAGCTTAAAGGCTTAAATGTATTTTAAAAAAATGTCTAGGTTTGTTCTTCTGCTAAGCCTTGTTGGTCTGACTTTTTGGATCGTATATTGGTAAGTAAAGGCTGTCTGTTAGTTAAAATACTAATGGGTTCGACATTTGCGTGAGGCTTTGTTGTTAGGGGGAGGTGTTCTTTCCCCTTCTTGAGTTTCCAGTAGAAATCTACTCCTCTTGGTATATTCAGAGCCAGTGTTGGACTTTCTGCTGCGGAAACATATAAGCAAACTGTACACTGCTAGGACAACTACTCTGAGTTAACCAATGTGAGTCAAAATAAGTATCAAAGTCAACTCTGCCTACAATGATATCACAGGGATGGAAGGTTGTTTACATTCTATTACTATCTGAAATGTTGCTGAGATAGTTCTGGTACGATACGGGACGTGAATAAACCAAGTACAGTACATACGCGTACTTTTTTCATGAAACATATATAGTACTTTTTGCATTAAAAGAGATATTTAATTTTGAATACGAAATATGGCTCACATAGGCCTCGCTTCCAGCCATTTGGCATCATCATGGTGGGCAGGGTTACAATCTGTACTTACTTTGACTTTCATTGGCTAATTTCGAGCGGTTGTCCTAGCGCTGTACAGTTTGCATATGAGATTTCCGCTGCTCAGGGCTTATAATAGAAATTTACAGCCCATTTCGGCCTCAGCAATTGCATCATCTCTGAGTATACATCAACATCTCGCTCAGTTGAAGGCTAAATAAAATGGGTCTGCGTTCGGACTTTCGAGCAAGTTTTCAGCCATTGGACAAAAAAGTTTCATCAGCCTATGTAAATGTATCTCCAGCAGTAACCAATGGAGTAAATAAGTATCAAAGTAATTGCCTACAATGATACACAGGGATGGAAGTTGTTTAATTCATTACTATCTGAACTGTTGCTGAGATAGTTCTGTTACATACGGGACGTGAATAAACCAAAGTACATACGATACTTTTTCATGAAACTATATAGTTACTTTGCATAAAAGAGATTTAATTTTGAATACGAAATATGGCTCACATAGGCCTCGCTTCCAGCCATTTGGCATCATCATGGTGGGCAGGGTTACAATCGTACTTACTTTGACTTTCATTGGCTAATTTCGAGCGGTTGTCCTAGCGCTGTACAGTTTGCATATGAGATTTCCCCTGCTCAGTGCTTATAATAGAAATTTACAGCCCATATCGGCCTCAGCAATTGCATCATCTCTGAGTATACATCAACATCTCGCTCAGTGATGAAAGGCTAAATAACCGACTGGGTTCTGCCGTTCTCGACGACTGCTTTCGAGCAAGTTTTCAGCCATTGGACAAAAAAGTTTCATCAGCCTATGTAATGTATCTCCCAGCAGTTTGTTTAACATTTTTTAGCAGTTTCCATTTAAGATTTGTTTGGTTTAATTTATTCCATTATGGCCAAGCATTAGATTGGTATCTGTCTAAGCGAAGGGATGTCTTCGGGAAGGATTTATTAAGGAAAAAGGGCTCGTATCCCCGGTACACATGGGAAAAACCACGAAAGCGCTCATGCAACCCAACCGTTGGTCCGGATTCGAACTCGAGACTGAGATAACAGTTTTTAGCGATTTTACCGCACGGTCGCTAGTGGGCGTACATGTGTAACTAAGCGCTAAGTTCTTCTATTGTTATTTCATTTACTTCTAACTAACTATTTAGTCCAAAAGGGCTTTATCCGAGTTTCCGTTTTGCGATTTTCGTTGAATATTAAAATGTGGTCACTTTTCAAAATGTGCCACAAATGTTAGAGTTTTGCATTATATTTGAAGAAATCAAATAATGAAAAATATGCATAAATATATGTCTACGAGTATTTCTCGCATTGTGATAAAACAATGGTACATAAAGCCATCGAATTTTGAATGACGTCATCCTCCTACGAATATGGGCATGTGGAAGACCAAATTTGAAATTTGTTTTATTATTGATTTCATATTCTGCAAAACTTCAACGAATTTTTGATTAATAAACTCAACGATTTAAAAACGAGCGATGACAACACTCTACGGCGGGGGGAAATATATCTCCAGCGGACGCGGAACTGTGTATCGGAAATTCTAAAGATAAGCTCATTTTAAAATTATTTTGCGACATTGCTACTGAACTGAAATTTATGGTTTAAGTGCCAAGAACATGATATTTAATAAATAAAGGTAACCACACAAAACGTTAAAAAAAACGCCCCTTTAGATGTAATTTAAAATCTGAAGCCTTTTAGATTTTTTTGCAGAGGGCTTGTGTTTTATTTTATTTTTTTAATTATTATATCATTACCTTGAAAATATATGTTTGATTAATTCTTAAAAGAGGATATAGGATTTTAAGTTGTTCTTAAAAGTAAAATGCAGGAAAATAATAATAATAACAATGGCAATTTCTCCATGCAAAAAAAAAATTCGTACATTTTTGTTCCTCTCCTTTTTTTAGTATGCATAAACTGTGAGCTTTTAATCCGAGTAACGCAAGAGCTGGAAAAAGTTTTAGACTTAAAATAATTATTCTTCAATTACTAGTTAATTTAACTTCTTTTCCAGGTCCACGTGGAATCTAGATATCTGCCAACTTCTACTTCCCATCATTTGTGATTTGTTGAAAAGTAAATATGAAACGTATGTAAGATCGTAAGATTTTGCAATACTTACTTGAGCGTTTGCATTTGCGTTTTCTAACTTAATTTTTTATTTCTTGTGGTATGAAATTTAGTTTGCGTTTCCTTTCTAATTTCAGGTACATCACCATAGGATGCATGTCATTAAAACTGATACTTAAAAACTTTTCTCATGTGATAAAAGTCAACATCACAGCTCCGAAGAGCATAGGAATAGACATATCGAGAGAAGAAAGGTAAACATTTCTTGACTTGTGAATGTTTTTAGGATAATCATTAAAAAATAATGCAGCATTTTTAAATTCAAAAGTCGTTTTTTAACTTATACCTTACAAAGGATATTGATGTAATACATTTCTCTTCTGCGGCTGTATAACATTTGAGTCGAAAGTTAAAAATGTGGAGTAGTACTCGAGATGGAATTTTACACATACAAAAGAAAAGTAAAACGTTTTGAGCCCGACCGTGAAGGGGATATTGTGATTAATTTTTATGATTATTATTATCTTAATATGATTCTTTAGGTAATCATCTGCTGTTCCAGTACAGTTTTGTAGTCTGTACCGAAGTTTATTTACAGTCATATTATCCCGAATCTCAAACCACTAAATAATCGCCTCAATGACATTATAACCTGTATTGAACTGACGTCTAAGGAATGGATTGCTCACGGCAAGAAATAGATGAAAATCTGGCGGGACCTGTTAGAGGGAATAATGTGGTTGGAGAAGTGAGGTGAAGCCACAGGTAAAATGGGTGGGACACCATATTTTCACCTTAGCTTGTACAGATATAATTCCACTGCCCTAACTGTGCAGCTCAAAAAGTTCTCCCATCTCCCTAGCACTCAATAGGACTTTCGAATCACCATGCATTTTGAGTGCCCTTTGCTGCACAGATTCTATACACTTACAAACATCTACGCCTTCTTCGGGATTCAAACCCGGGCACATCGCTACGACAATCAGTGTCATTAACCACTACACCGTTTGTGTGGCAAATGAAGCCACAATTGAGCAAAGAAGCTTCTGGAATTGCGCGCGCAGTGAGGAGTGCACCGTCTTGATGCAAAAAGATTTCCTTTTCAATTCTATCTGGATTGTTCTTCTCCAACCCATCTCTTCATTACTGCATCAGATTGGCACGATATTCCCCAATGACAGTCGGCTTTTTGTCACAAGATCAGCCAAACTTACCCTTCGTCTTCCACTTCGTTACCAAAATCTCCGTCCGTTTTTGTTCTGGAGTAAAGTTGGCAAGAAGAGTCAAGCCCACACTATGTTCGAAGACAATTATTGGATGAAGTGTAGCACATTTGATCGAGAGTTGCATTGAAACGTTCAGACATTGTTTTCACCATCATTCGACCGATTGTTTACGACCATGTCTCGCATACTGCTGATGTTTTCGTATGTTGCTGCTTTCACTGAACGTCTTTCTCGTGCTTCGTTCAGAATATTTATGCGTCCACGTTTGAAGTCCGCAACCCATTATTTTAGGATGCAAATGACGGGTCTTCATTTCTTAACGTTTTCAGTATTGTTCTGTTGAATATATGCTGCAATATCCTTCCGATAGAGCTATCGAATCACAGTCCTATTCGCCAATCTACTGTCAGATATTTCATTTGTTTTCCGCTTAAAAACGTTAAAGAATAAAGCATGTCAATTACGTGAAATTTCGCATAGCGTATCACAACGCTTCAACCTAATGAATCATAATATAAGACACATAAGAATCACGATGGCATTTGTTGTCGATAAGTCAAGGCTAGCATTTTGAATTAAATCATAGCATTGTATTTTAAATAAATAAATAAATTTAAGTGCTATCATGTACATTTGTATTCTGGTAGCAAGGTTAATTTCAGAGTAATTAAATGAAAAAATAATAAAAAAAAATCTGAGAGTTTTCAGATTTTAAATTACGTTCAAAGGGGCGTTTTTTTAACGTTTTCTGTGTTACCTTTATGTTTTATGTTTTTTTTCCCGTACAGTGTTGCCATTTCTCACTTTGAAATTGTTTAGTTTTTTAATCAAAAATTCGTTGATGTGTTACAAAATCTGAAATTGATAATAAAACAAATTTCAAATTCAAATTAGGGCTTTCACATGCCCAAATTCTGTGGAAGATTACGTTATTCAAATCTGGATGGCTCTAGGTACCGCTTGTTTTATCACGATGCGAGAAGAAATATATATATATATATATATGTGTAATGATTACATATAATCTTCATAAATGTACATATATATATATATTATATTATAAATTATGCAGATTCCTTATTACTTAATTTCTTTAAATATAATATAAGGCGAATTTTATATGGCGGGGCAACGATTTGAAAGTGATACAGCCTTTTTTTAAAAAAAAAGTTTGCGTTAGTTTTCGGCGCAGAATGCCAAAACGATCAATTACTCTAGAAAGATAATAACAATTAATAACTAGCAATTTTATTTTAATTTAATAAAGTCTAAAAATAAAATTATATTCATTTGTGCTGTATAAGTTAACGTATAAGTTATTAATCTCGTTAATAAAATTTTATAAAAATTTAGTGTCATAACATATTTATTAAAATTTATAAAAGACCATATAAAAAGCCTTATTGTGTTCACCATTTTGGACAACTAATGCCGATATGGAAACAGAACACTATTTACGATTTAAAACTTGAGCTTTCAACGAAGAATGTACTTTCGCATTACAATAACTGCTCCTCGTACTCTAATTTGGAGAGCGTAGTTCTGAGGAAAAGGATGCTAAACAGGGAAAGAAATTTCTAGTGCTTTTCTCTAATTTTAACCTACATTTTGGACAACTAAAACCTTCAATAACTGTGTATTTTGCTTTCGTTAATGCATCATGTTATCTTTTTGTATCAATAACTTTGTTAAATATTCGTAATCGCACTCAGTGTATTACATATTGTAATAAGCATATCCATGTAACTCAGGCATAGCTTTACCATTGCAATTTTTTAAGTTGTATCTATCTATCTCTAGTTCCGTATGTGTGGACACTGAAATTATTCTCCTTACCCTCAAAGCATCTTTCTTCCATCCTGAATCATTGAGTCGTCCGGCACTCTTTTATTTTTTTCCCACCTCTCATCGTATATGTAATATTTTCAACACATAGTACATGTATGTAATATGTTATATAACATGGTAACACGTATTACATGTATGTAATATGTATGTTAGTATATGCATGTAATATTTTCAAACGATTCAAGTAAATAAAAACATTTCCAATACATTTCACATATTACATGCTGCACAGAAATCCCACTAGTCATACTCGATGACTCTTATGTGTGCATTTACAATGTTGTCTTATGGTTTCTACCGCAACAAGTATTGCGATTACTTTACATGAGATATAATGCCTGCAATATTGCGATTACAATTTATGAGATATAATGTCACCTTGTTTAAAAATGTGTTAGAAAATTTAATTCCCATGGTTTAAAATTTAAAATTTTTAAAAATTTTCCCACGGTTTATTGGCAATAAAGGCAGAATTTAAAGCAAACAACTCTTCTCCCCCCCCCCAAGTTTCAAAGTTAGACTCGAATTCCCATTTTATAAACATACGTTTTGCACTTACTTTTTGGCTCGTGTAACTGACTAAGGAAATTCAAAATACCGTTACGAATTTTGTAAATAGTAGATGATTTTAGTGCAAGTATATGTGAAATTGCTGTATTTTCTTGGTAATATAACGTGAAAAATCTAGAGAGATAAGCTATACCAGAAAAATAAGAATAATATAAGAAAAATAAAAATAAGAATAAGGTATAAATACGAGATATCTATCGTTGTATTCGGGCATAACTTATCTAGAGAGATAAGCTGTGCCCGAAAATTAAGAATACATTTAACATTGAGTAAATGAGTATCTCGGAAATTTGGCGATTTCTCGCCAAGCTGGCAGCGGTTTTGGCGACTTATTTTGTCGCTATATTTGGCAAGAAATTGTCAAAAGTCCCCATGTTTGGAGACATTTACGTCTGTATAACCGTATTAGGTACTGTAATTGAATAACTGTAATTGACCACTATATTAGCTGAAACCGTAACACGACTCTCATATTGCCTTCCAGTACTTTCGAAAAACAGAATGTACTAGAAATATCTCGGCGGCCGGGGGAAGACTATATGAGGCCGGAGAGAGCATTTGTTCTCAGTAGTAGTTGTTGCGAGTTTTTAATTCAGCGTGAGTTCGGAGTATTGATATCTCGGGTTAGCTTAATATAAAAAATTAATGAGATAGCCTATGCCAGAATAGTTAGGATATAGGAGCAAGTCCATTTAACATTGAGTAAATGGGTATCTCGGTAATTTGGCAAGATATCGCCAACCTGGAAACGGGTTTGGCGGCTTATTGTGCTGCCAGATTTTGCGATAAATTGTCAAAGTCGCCAAACTTCACCATTTGGCGACATTTTGGTCCGGTTCCTGTATCGCCATGTTAGGTATTGTAATTGAATAAATGTAATTAACTGTAACCGTAACACAACCTGTATTAGCTGTAGCCGTAACACAACCTTCATATTGCCTTCCAGTAATTTCGAAAAGCAGAAGGTACTAGAAATAGCTCGGAGGCCAGGTAAAATCTATATAAGGCCGGAAAGAACACCTGCTCTTAGTTGCTTAAACCTGCATTTCAAGGGTTTTCATTTGTACAATCAATGGCTCTCTTTGAAGATTTACTTCAGGAAAATTCATTGTCATGAGCCCAAGGGGCATCATCCCAACCGAGCCGTAACACGTCAACTAGAAGCTAGGAACTGCTCTCTGTACTAGTTATTGCTGTGGTTGCACGTTCAACGTAAGTTCGGAGACTGAGATCTCCGGGTTAGCTTTCTCTTCAGATGCGCTTTGCATTGCGTTGTGTTTAACGTTCTTAGAAGTTTGAACTACTGATTGTATTATGTGTTACTTGTACGAGTACTTCTGTGGAAAATTCCAAAACTCCTATTCCTATTGAATTATTATGGAATATTAAAAAAAATATTCCTATTGATAAAAATACACTTTATTAATCTATAACCGGACTTTTGTGCATTGAATCTGTTACGAACCCGTACACACGCAACTATACATATAACCGAAAACCAATGCATAGCCTTGGAGTTCTTTATTATAAAATTATATTTTTATTTGTATCCATAAATATTCATTTGTATCCACGTTTTCATTTGTATCTATAAATATATATATTGATTTCGTTTTATTAGAATTTATAGAGCCTATATTAACAGAAGTATTTTAAAATATGTACAGTATAAAACTATATGTTAATAGAAGATGAAATGTATTTTGGCTTGCATTCGAAATGAAGCTTAATTCCAGATTTCATTTTAATAAATTTGTACTCTATCGAAACTAACGTTTCAAAAACAAATACTGCATATTTTGATTTTGTTACCCTAATACTTAACTAAATGTATGAGACCAGCATCGTTCGATATGCAAACGTACTTTGCAGGAACATTTCTAAGCCTCTGCTGGAGATGGAACACACGGATCTTATTTGATTTACTGGATTTTTCTCGAGAAAATTTTGTATATTCGAGTTTGTTTTATTATATCGATAACAAATCGTATTATCACATAACTCTATTTTGTGATTTGCTTCAGAAAGAAATAATAGAACTGAATATATATAAACATGTGGTACATACTTTCTCCTGAGATTCTCGTGAGCACAAACTAAATATAATTCTGATTTATGAGTTTTACTTAAGTACGACATGCGATAACGAACAGAATAAAGTGTACTAACTTCAGAATAAGCGTATCTTCCTTAGTATAAACATTTCAATCCTTTTTAATTTAAAATATGCGGTAAATAAGACTCTATGACATTTTCTACCTTCTTTCTGCATGCCTTCGTGGTGTAACGGTAGCACACTCGGCTCGTATTCGAAAATTCCAGACTCGAGTCCCGGGGAGAGCATTGCACATTTTTCACATCTCCTGCTTCAAAAATCATCATGACTCTATAGTGGCACCCGAACTAAAAGGTGATGGATGATGATTCTTTACCACCAGGATTTGACGAACGGGCTCCCTAATCTCCAGTCTCCCTTTAAAAGGGGGAATATATATTTTCTCTCTCCTTTCTGCATGCCTTCGTGGTGTTACGGTAGCACACTCGAGACGTCCACGTTCGAGTACCGGCGAGGGCATTGCTCATGCTTCCTACTTCAAAAATGACCTAATGACTCTATAAGGCTTATGTTATTTTCCACATCAAACTTCTTCAAACTAGATTTGGTATGAAATTAGAAATATGCATTGAATATTGCTAGACTGGATATTAAATTTTATTTATTTTTTAATTGTTATATGACGTGATTGCTACATTTTGCAAGTGAAAGTGTTATTTTGAGTAAATTCTAAATGAGTAAACTAAATATAATTCTGATTTATGAGTTTTACTTAAGTACGACATGCGATAACGAACAGAATAAAGTGTACTAACTTCAGAATTAGCGTATCTTCCACATCAAACTTCTTCAAACTAAATTTAGTATGAAATTACAAATATGCAATGAATATTGCTAGACTGGATATTAAATTTTATTTATTTTTTAATTGTTATATGACGTGATTGCTACATTTTGCAAGTGAAAGTGTTATTTTGAGTAAATTCTAAATGCATGTTCAGATGGAAACTAGGTGTTTATGCAATTTAGTATTTTATTTTATTTTTCCTTTCGAATACATTTCTGAATAGATAAATAACGCAGTAGCACCTCATTATACGAGGATTCAGTATCTGCGGTTTCAGTTACCTGCGGTTTATAAAGGAAGAAAAAGAAATATTTTGGTCGCCCAGACGGTGTAGTGGTTAGGGGAGCCTACTACGATAACGAAGGCCCAGGTTTCTAATCCCAGAGAAGACATGGATGGTTGTAAATGTATAGTGTCTGCGCGACATGGGGCACTCTAAGTATGCGGCGTGCGGAAGGGCTTTTTGTGTGGTTTGGTGGAAGGGGAGAGGAGTGGGAGCCCCGGGGTGTCCTCGCTCAAAACTGTGGTGGAAGATGGAAGTCCATCCTCTCTGTGGAGTACCCTCTGGCAACCATTCTACCATGTAATTTGGACACGATAGCAACAAAAACAACAAATTCGTTGAAGTTTCAAAATGTACATCAAATGATATATATAATAATTGCTTGCAATTTTAAGCTGTTGCCACATATTTTTAAAGGTTCAAAATTTTGAAATGGAAATTTTTTCCTGAGTCAGTTGCATGCGAAATGTACTATTAACAACATTTATTAGAAACCGGCGAAATCATTTTTTGCACATCCAATAACCTCAACTCTTAGCTAATTTTACTTCTGGTTTGTAACAAATTCAAAATTCACTTAGCAATTCACCACACATTCCAAATTGACGTCTCGAGAAATAAACACATTTCTCTTTAAACTGCAAATATTCTAGCCACTTAACATCCTGGTGATGATCAACTGAAGAAATTGAAGTTACAATGAGGAATTAACATAAAAATAACGTTTATAGAATTTCATTAAATCGCTTAGTATTTTGTGAATACCTAAACTAATCATGAATAAACATACAATGTTGCATTTTGTTTTTCTATTTAATCAGTTTAATTAACTTATTCCTGTGGAGCTTCAAGTGATAGTTTATATGTTTATTCGCATTTTATTGCGCTAAAACTCGTGCTAACTATATTAGTGTACTTACCATTACTTTGTGTTATTCTGTTTAAATCGTTTCAATAAAGATAAGTACAACGCATTCGATTTAATTTCTGACTGGAAAAATTCTTTATTCATAAAATAATATTGCTGAAGAATATATTTTAAATGAAATTCTTTCAATACATCAGATACTTTTTTTTTCTTTGATTAGGTACAAGAAATGCAGAGCATGTTTCAACCATTTGATGGCATTACGTTCTCTCGTACTTCAAAGGCAATCAACAGATGGACAGCTAGGCAAACTTTTCACAGAGCTCTATGAAATGCTTCAAGCTCTCGAAAGGTAGTAAAGGAGAACAACAGTTGAAATGCTTAGCTAATTTGTCTGTAATAAATAAAATTTTATAGAAAATTATCACTGTTAAGGAGTGCATTTTTTTATAAACATACAAAAACATACGGGTTATAAATTATTTTGGCTAGTACAATTAAATTTAACCATATGAGAGACATGACCGTTTTCATTGGTCGTGAGATTTTTTTGTTACTTTGTACATATTAGCTTACAATTTTAAATATTTCGCTTTCTTACTTTCTTTAATGATGTAAATATCATCTTAATGAACGGAACTTAATGCAAACAGAGACTAAAATAAGTAATTAGGTCAATTTATCTCTATTACATGCTGTTTAAATACAGATCTTCATGAGCAGATCCCAAAGTCCCTGCCACTCAAAGGGTTAAATTACTAATTAACTGTATTGACAGCTAAATCAGGAGAAAACGTTTACATTTATTCTCATCAGAGATGTTATTCCTTAAAAGAACCTGAAGGTTGTTTCTTTCTAACGATTGGTCTCAATCAGGATTTCTTAAACTTCAGTCAGTTGCGATCCCTTTTTATCACTAAGATTTTTTCGCGAACCCAGGACCTCATAATATCTACGAAAATTTGTGGGATCCCATAAGCATTGCGCAAATCCGACACACGCATGAGTGAAACTGTCAATTTTTTCACTTGTACTGAAATATAAGATAGCACTTTAGGTCATTAACTTTAATTTTTAATTTTAAGACACAGAACAGTGCGAAAATGACGAAATGGCAGCGTCACTTGCAAAGCAAGTAAAACGAACGTTTATATTATAAAAAGAATGCGTCGAAACGTTTTCGTTTTTTCTGTCTGTGTATTGTCTTGTCTTTATCTGTTTTCAGATACAGTGTGTAAAAATATTTGGTAATTGTAAAATTATTATAATATGTTAAAGAAATATCAAAACTGCTAATGGGGGTCGCGACCCACAGTTTAAGAAAATCTGGTCTAAACAAAAGATTAGAATTTTGAAACATGGTGAAATTATTAAATTCTATAATGTTCTTTTCCCCACCTTTCCACATACCTTCGTGGTGTAATTGGAAGCACACTCGACGTGTATTCGAGAGATTCAGGGTTCGAGTCCCGGCAAGGCCAGTGCACAATGTTCATGTCTCCTGCTTCAAAATAACCTAATATTTCTAAAAGTGGCGCCCGAACTAAGAAGGGATGGACAATAATTCGTCACCGCCAGAATTTGGCGATTAGGTCTCCTAATCCCCAGTCACCCTTTAAAAGGGGAAATATATAAGGCTTTTTCCTCCCTCCTTCCAACATGCCTTTGTGGTGTAACCGTAGCACACTCGGAGCGTATACGAGAGGTCCCGGTTCGAGTCCCGGCGAGGGCATTGCTCATTTTCCATGTATCTTCCTTCAACATAACCTAATGGCTCTACATGTTGATTTAAAATTAAAATAATAATAATCTTTTTAAACTAATAACTTTTCTACATTAATTGTAAGTTACATTTTTGCTGAAAAAAGAAGTAGTAGATCCGGAGTGAAAATATTCTACTCTGAATTTTAAATACGACATAAACTTCATTTCAAACAAATCACACCAAAATTCTTGTGTGGGAAGGCGATTCTCATATTCCAACAAATTTCCCTTTGATAAGCGATGTTAAAAATAGTATCTAATATTCCAGGAGACCGCTGAAAGTCGAAGAATAATTTACTTTTCATGGGTAATGGTATTTGCTAAAATAAACAAAAAGACTTCAAACTTGATGTTAAAATAAATAAATATAAAAGAACGTTTTTGTCCACATTTTCATCCGTCCGAAACATTTTATAACATACACTTATGAAATTCTTTTTAAAATTCCTAAACACAATTTATGATAAAACTCAACTACATTCCCTTGGGGTTTAAAAAAAAAAGGGAAAATAGGTGCTGTGGATTTATCTTGACATACTCCGCTGACACATTGGTAAAGTAACTATACGTAATTCCTTACCAGTGCCATTGACCCACTGGCATTGGTAAGGAATTGTGGCATCCCCTAGTGAGTGATAGTTAGCAAGTTCCTTTAACTAGTGGAAGATACGTAACGGAATCCCGAATTGTTTATTTGTGTTTCTTTGTCCGAGATGTCTAATGGCCTTTATATCTTAAAGCAGACTGACTTTATATCTTAAAGTCAACTGACAGTAAATTCTTAGGTCTTTCTTGAAACAAATAATATGCAAACTAAGCTGTTAATAATTGTTTTATGTGACCGTATTTATCATAGTTTTTCTTAAATAACAGTTTACCACATTGTAATATCAACATACAGGGTGGCAGGAGAAAATGTGATGAAAGAGAGCACGTATGCATTTGAAATTAATGTGTTTATTGTGAACGTGTTTATTGCATCGTGATTTAATTGCTGTAAGGAGCTCAAGAAATTTTTGTACACTTATGTATGAGAGCAATTTGCTACTCAAGCTACACTGGTGTGCAAAAATTAAGGACGAGACGGTTTTTTCAATATAACTTTGTACAAAAGCTTTCCAAATCAACACATTTAAAACCGTAAGATCCCCAATACGTAAGGACATAAGTAATGTAAGCAGCACTTACTAAAAGAGAAATCAGAGGGATAAAAAGAAGCTTTATTGAAAAAGTAGCATGGAGCGCAATGCGACTGAAGGCCGAAACATCTCTGTGATGGGTGTCCAGCAAGAAACATCCGGTCTTTAATAGGGGATATGATCTGCCCTGACTGCTAGGCAGGTTTCACAGCGTCTGCCCATGCTGAGAATGAGGGTGTCAATGAGTTGTTGAGGCATTGCTGCCCATTCGTCTTGCAGCGCCAATCGAAGCTCCGGAATCGTTACTGGTGGTAAGGTACGAGCTGCCAAACGTCTGCCTAGAAAATCCCATACATGCTCGATGGGACTAAGATCCGGAGATCGTGCCGGCCAATCCATACATTCAATATCCTCACTCTCTAAGAGCTGTTTCGGCAGCTACTGTGCGATGACATGGTGCATTGTCGTCCATGAAAAGGAACTGCGGACCCATAGCGCCTCTAAAAAGACGCACATATGGAAGAAAGAATCTCGTTACAATAACGGGTCCCGTTGACTGAACCTGCGTCGAAGATGTGAAGGTCTGTACGACTACCAAGCATGATGCCTCCCCAAACGAGAACACCGCCACCTCCATACCTGTCCCTTTCAATGATGTTCGAGGGATGATTGCGGCTTCCCCGCTCTCTCCAGATGAGTATGCGATGAGAATCGCTACTCAGACTGAATCTGCTCTCATCTGTAAAGTGTACTCGTCCCCATTCATTGTCTCTCCAATTCCGGTGTTCCCGGCACCACAGAGAACGCCTTCTCCGAAGGGCAGGCGTTAGAGGTACACACCGTACAGGGCGTCGTGTGCAAACAGACCACCACGGTGCAGTCTTCTGGCCCACGGTAAAACGCGATATCGGTCGTCCAGTCGCCTGTGTCGTGTGTCTAGCGATTTCTCCCGCTGTCTGCCGCCTGTTTCTCTTCTGGCCTGTAAGGCAATATAACCGGTCATCTGCGGGTGTGTGTGGTTCCTCGTGGACGACCACTACTAAACCCCCGGATAGCTTTCCTGTAGTTTGAAATTGTCTCCAAAGTCGTGAAACGATGCTGTGAGCAATTCCGAACTCTGCAGCCACACTTGTCACACTGCGGCCTTCCTCCAACTTCCCAGTGATTCGACCTCGGGTAAAAGCATCCAGATGTCGTCTAACAGATTGATTATTCGCCATTTCGGCTGAGGGCAGCAAACTCGGTGTGATTTAACTGCTATACGGCGTGCAATCTCTTTGCCAGAAATACTGATCTTACACCCGACAACATGCTTTATACTACTCAGACACTCCCCCATAACGTCTACCTGCATATCTGCGCATGTGCTACCGTACATCACCTTACTTAATCTCCTGATTGGTCTTTCTGTCCGCTCTGCCTCTTCGTTCAGCTGATATGCTAATTTTTCGACTTCGTCCTTAATTTTTGCACACCAGTGTATATCTGTACAATATTTATCGCATTTCACAAGTTCGAAATCCTCACTTGTGCCACCTAGTTCTATCATTTCCACAGTTCCGGCAGTCAAGTCTGAAAAGATAAAAATCCAATCTCTAATGTTTCCAGCGAAGAAAACATTTTGAGTTCTTGCCTGTCATGTAAATCACAAATCAATGATTTCGGATACGTCTTCTCTTTCATAACTCTATACATTCTACATATATGTAAAGCAAGATAATTGGAATCACTGTAAACGCATTTATTCTTAATTAAATTTGTAATACCAGTTGTGGGTTCAAAATAACTTAGCGATGTCTATTATTACAAAAATAAGGCGGTACCTTTGTTCTGTGCTTGAATTATTGTCACCATAATAGTTAATTAAACAAACAGATACAGAATTTAAACTTTTTAAGTTTATGCTACTTCATTATTTGCGAGTTTTTAAATTAAAATAGACAAACACAAATTTACCAGCCAACCTGAACCAAATTTAAAACTCAAAGCTTCCTTTCGCAAAGGGTATAAATTCAACAATTTTATTCTAAATTAGATGTATTAAATTCTTTATCGTGATCGTTCTAAAAATCTCCAAACACCCTCTATATAAATGCGTTTAAGTTCTCCTGGAAATTGCTGTACACATAACTGATTTTTTATATTATCTTATCTGTGTATCAAATGAACGTTCTGGGATATTTACGACATTTGTTTCCTTAATAACGAATCAAAATATTTCTGTCTGTCTAATTTCCCTGAATTAATTGGTATGAGATCAATCACATTAACAAGCGACAGTTTAGAAATTCAGAAGTATTGTATGAGTTAAACCTAATCTACTGTTGCAGTAGAATGCATTTCAGCCTGCAGGATTCCGAATCGGATTCCGGATAAAAGATTTTTTCCGGATAATATATACTTCTAAAACTTACTTGCTCAGGTTAGCCGCCCAGACGGTATAGTTGTTGACTGCGATACCGAAGGGCCTGAGTTCGAATCCCGGAGAAGGTTGTAACTGTCCGTCCCTTCATAGGAGGCA